AGAGACAGCGGTAGAGAGCCGACGCAGCCACACTCAACGCGCCACCACAAGTGCAACCAAAGTAAACAAAACAAGTAATTATTGGAAATAATGAAAATATACTTAACAGAATACGCTACAGCAACAAACACTGAAGAGAGAAACTCTGTTCAGGCAGAAACAAAAAGGTTACAGAGAGAGCTTGTTATTTTAAAATGTATTTAATAAACATGAAGTAACAGTTGATTGAGATATTTAAACAAGCATATTCATTGGATTGATGGTAATAACTTTAATGTACCTAAGTGTGCAATGTGCACCTGTATTATTTTGAAAAATTGGATTAGATTGGGACATCCCTAATTAAAAGCTATTCTTCTTTACAAAAATGCACTACATGTTCCCAATCTGGTAGGTACACTCATTAAAACATGTAGTCATTAAGATAAGTGTATATGATGGAATAGTGGCATTCAAATGTGCCAGAGGCCACCACATTTGGGCTTTTACGGCCATTTTACCCCATAGCTGCTACTTTCCTCACTGGTTGGCTACATATCCTTGTGGAAGCCCTGTTAATAGCAATGAAATATAAATATATCTAGAGTTGGCTCAAATAATTTCATATTGAAGGGGTTTTTGTGATTTCAGATGTAGCCGTTTGCCTTTGAACAACAGAGCTAGTCATCCTGACCACTAATAGGGTTTGACACAGCTGTCACGAGTCTGTGAGGCCACTTCATATTCTCAAGATGGGCTGAACTGGCTTCAGAGTACAAGAACAGGGGGATGTGAATATATTGCAGCAAATACACCATAGTGGCCAGCTACTCAGGTACATAGACAGAGATGCAATAGTAGTATAATTTACCTAATAACACTGTTGACTTTTAACAGTTTAATAACACATTTATTTGACTCTTTCTGAATGGATTTTTATTCAAAAACATTCAACTGTGGAAGTGGTAACAACTAAGAGATTTACTTGTTTGATAGTGGAAAACATTTAAGTTCTGCTTTGACCCCTGTAAACTCTACTCAGTCTTTTAATTAGTTAAGTGAGAGCTGGCACGGGCTGTTTGAGCCCAGCTTTCCCCCTATGGAGGCATTGAGTGATTTTTCCAAAAGCCTTTATGAGCCCTTCCCCTTACCTCTCTTTATAAAACTGAACACCATCGTCATAGGAATTTTTGCTTGCTCTGCTGGGTTCACATTATACTAACCACTAAAGCACTGTTACTGTGGGTTGTTTTGAAACTTCTTATGTTAAAATAATGCGTTCTTTATAACACTGCCACTGTTTGTCAGTTATATGAAAGATATGACCTTTACTTGCACAGAACTACATTTTGCATTTCAGGGTATCTTTGTGATGATTCGACAAACTGTATAGGTTTGACTCAATTAATCAGAAGGAGAATATAAATGATTAACTTAAAGATAAACATGTAAAACATTAGTGGTTTCATCTCCCTTCTAGCCTCTGTACCACTGGTCTCTATAACAGTATTGGTAAGGAATGGCTGACAGGGTTTCTTATCACTATAACGGTTGAAAATATTAACTTAGTGCCGATTCTTCTGGTCATTCTGTCAAGAAAACACGTTTTCTCTTTTTATATACTGTGGATGAGAAAAACAATTCACACTGTTGCTCCACTTGAACTTTCTTGTAGAAGTTGCTGTTCTGTGAATTATGCAAGCAAAAAGAAAAGGGTTCTGTATTATACCTACAACTGAAAGAAGAAAAAGTTTAAGAAAGAGCAACTTCTGAGTCCTTTTCTCCTCTGTCTTGGAGCTGTTTGGTAGAGAGGGAGGGGAGGAGGTGCAGGGAGGAGGGAGGGAGGTGGAGTAAGGTTGGAGTCCCACATAACCACTGGCAAAGGAGCCGTTTCATACTGTGCTGTTCTGAGCTGTCTATGCCTCTCTCTGTTTGTATTCGCTGGGAGTCAGCATGCACCTGTGGTCTCTCTCATTTCAACTGGTTGTTTATCAATGCTGTCACGTTAGCAGCTCGTGCAGCAGTCAGCAGGAGAGAAGTAGAACTGGACCTGGTAGATTCAAAATACCAAAAACTCAGAGCAAAGGAATTGTGTTTGGGGAGTTTCTGCCTCCATCTTGAGACGAAAGAAATCTGAGGAACAAACTTGCCTGGCTGGAATGAAGGACTGACAGCAAGCAGACTTGTGTGGAAAAGGGTAAGTTACTCACAAACCGCTGAAGTTACTCTAGTTTGTTTGGTTTCAACCAGGATAAATATAGATGTTTTTACCTTCTTGTACAATACCCGTAATACCCTTCAGTAAACTGTACGATACTGTAGCAATCATAAAATGTGTCTTTACATAAGTTGTTATTTATCTCCTTGTTGTACGTGTGTTTGTGTGCACACACATGTGGGGGTGTGTGTTGTGTTTGTTGAATTTTATGATGTGTTGGCTGGTCTGTGGTTCATCTTTGGATTAGACTCAGCTGCTCTGGTTCTCTCAGGGTATGTCTTGTTTTCTCTTGTTCATTTGTTCAGACATCTCACGTGTCCAGAAATAAACACACACACACACACACACACAGGAAGCAACAGGACAGTGTCATGTCTTCACTTCAGAGCAGACAGGACTTACTCCTGCTGGTTCAAATAGCAGTCTACTTGTAAACCAATCTCCTGTAGTACCCTTACTGCCATTAGAATAACATTATAAAAAACTCATTCAGTCTGGAGTGTTGGTGGTAGATTACCTCCGATTCTGGATTGGTTAACATTGTGGGCGGGTTGTCTTTGAGAAAACGTACACCTGGCACTGTAACCAAAAAATACTATTCTTTCCAGCAATGTTTTTTACATTCAATGTATTTACGTTCAGTAAAATCATTGCTTTATGTTGTTTTTCATTGTTTGTGCTCAGAGCTGCTTTTCAATGGACACATTCAAATATGTGTAAGCATGAACAGAGCCTAAAGCCTGCATTGTGCTGTGCATGATTAACGCAATAGGGACGATTTTGTGGTAAACAGCTAGATTGCTAACTGCTAAAATAGTGTGGCCGCTTGGTTTAGGGCAGCAGTGTTAAACATTGTTGGCAGCTTAAATGATGTTTGTGACAAGGCCAGAATTGATGTGGTAATGACCCGATGACAGTCAGACCAGTTAGGCTGAAATTGCCCTGAAGATTATTACCTTCAAACTAAAATGAGGGCCACCTGAACAGACTGAAACACTAAAAAAACTACTAGGCCCCAAGTGGATCTGTGAAGACCTCTCCTCTATTTTACAACTAGACAACAAAATGTCCTTTAACTCATAATTAGTTTTTTTTAGTCATAATAGCCTTCTGTTCATCATTTGGGTTCAATAACCTTAAAGCTCCATTAAACCATTTTTAGTTACTAGTGGGCTGAAAACCCCAAAACAAGTTAATGACATGGTGCAACATTGATTTGGAGTCACGAGTCTCGCTGTGTGTAACTCTTCACGGCAATATTCACTGTCTTTTTTAGTCGTGTTGTTGTCTCAGTAACTCCTGAGAACAGTATCTGGGTCTTTAACTGACTACATGTTTGATTTTCTGCAAATTTTTTTTCTTAATCACTAACTTCTGCTGCATAGATTTAACAGACTGATTAAAGTCCCCCTCCAGTCAAAAATATGTTTTTCTTCTTTATCGTACTGTTGGATGTCTGAGCCTCATTGTGCAGAATGATGTACATGCAGAGTTTGACACTAAAAGGATGTTTTCACATTCATCTGCTGAAAGAAGTGGAAAGTTTCTTTGTGCTCATTTAAGATCTTATTTTTAAGGGGTTGGGCCTACGAGCATTGGCAGGCAGGACAGGCAGGCAAAACACATCAGACACACATTTTATATACTGTGTAAGTAAAAATAGCTGCTGAAAAACAGCATTTCAAAAGTTTATTTTTCAGAAGGAAAAAGAAAATTTATCTCAAATGATAACTAAATGAATAAATCATTCTGCATCTTTAAAATAAAGCCGTAAGGTTAGGCACACTGCTTCGGCCTCACCATCAACTCCAGTTAACATTTGTTATGAGTTAGGAGTTTGAAAGTCTACATGCTGTCCAAGGATATCCTGCAGGGAAACAGATTAAAATAGCTCTCCTATTTTTTCACAGGTCTCTCCGATGATTACTGCTCTTGGAAATACTGACCAACGTCATTATGGCACCATATTTAGTGATTGTGCTCACAATGCCTTGGGCTACAAACCTAGGAAAGTGTGGGACAGGCCCAGAAGCAGATAAGAAAAGGACATATGGGATGATGGAGTTACTTTAGAGTATGCTTTGAACTGTATATTTATTTTAAACAAACAGAAATGGTGGTACTGTATTGGAGAAGTGGCAAAAATTATTTACAAAAAAAAGTGGTGGGGGTTGTTGGGAAGAGAAAGGCATGATTCAGGCTCTGCATGCTTCACATTCTTAGCTGCTGACCTCTATGGATGATAACAACAGCCGGGCTTGAAGGTCACACTGCTGTGGCCAGTGGCTGAGGCTGAATCTTTACTGGTACCAAACTAGATGTTTGTAAGGCTGGTACTGTTCTCTAATTATATAACTATTATTATATACTATATAAGCTATTGGGGATTACTGTTTGCTAGCAAACAAAATAAAAAAAATATAAATATGAAAATATGAAAAAAATTAAAGGACTGAGTTGACTGTCATATGCCAAAGTTAAGCTTAGGCAGTGGATGTGACAGAAAAAACGGTTTCCATGTGGTAACTTGCATGAGGCTTAGGGCTGAAAAGACAGTATCATTACAGTGGTCACACACCATTTCACTAAACGGTTTAGAATAATCCCAAAACAAACCAAAGGCCAAAGCATTAGTGGCAATGAAATCCTGTGCTTGTCTGTGATTGCATATTAAAGAAATATCTTGTAATAAAAATAACCCTGTTCTTCTTTGATGGGATGATTAGGCACCCATGTCATATGATATAGTACTGGGTATAACTGGGGAGCAGACATTTGAAAGTTAATGCTTCATGTTGTAAACATTTAAGCTCAAATGAAATATTT